TAAATCCATTTTTCGTACACATACATATGATTTTACTATAAATCTTTTCTTTTCCAATACAAGTTTAACTACAATAAAAAAAAAAGAAATTGAATATGTGAAATGAAAGTAACGCATTTATCATAGATACTCACTCCGTCTCATAATTATTGTCCAATTTATTAAAAAATTATTGTCCCAAAATTATTGTACGATTTGACTTTTTTATGAACTAAATTACACATATACCCTTTAAGTTTTTTTTAAGAAAACCATTAAACTGAAACATCTTTTCTCCATTATTTCCGACGCACAAAAACGCACAGTAGCAGCAAACGGTGGTACTCCGACAACTCCAAACAGTGATGAAGATGTGGTGGCCTGGTGTTACTCGAAAAGGAATTCGGCGAAGAAACTCCGACAAATTTCGACGACTCTAACTGGCAGCCATGGATTCGAAGGACGTTGCCCGCAAAATCGAAAATCATTTGCATCGGAGGAGCATCCAATTGAAACTCAAAGTAAAAATTTTCTCCAAATTCAAATCAATTTTCTGAAAATTTAGGTTGATTGGCACAAACGATGGTCTACAGTTGAAGACTATGTTCGATTCAAAGCCTTTCCGATAACATAGAAGGATTACCTTCGTGGATACCAAATTGAAACAGAATAAAAAAGATTCTTCACATTGGTTTAATTCTGGCTAGGTGCTGACCGAATATCAAATGAAACCACTGTTCTTGTCTTTTGCAATTAGTTTTTGGATCTGGGAGTTAAAATTAAAAAAAAAGTAAGGTGAGTTTTTTTCTCCAAATCTTTAGCCGGTTAAACCATTTATGTGTGCAGAGTATATGTGAAACTTTATGTTAAAATTTGATTAAATTTGACTAAAAATAAAATCTTATAACTGAACAAAATAACATAATAATTTTGGGACGAAAAGAATACATACGATCAAGGAAATGGTTAACAAAGGAAAAATGAGAAAGAAAGGAAAGGGAACAAAGAATGGGAGGAGAGACAGGGAAGAGACGTGACAGTTGATGGAGGCCCAATTTTCAAATTTTAAGGATACTGGTATATTTTTGGTCCCGACCACGATCTTCTTCTTCTTCAATTCACACATGAATGATGAATATAATATCATCTGTGATCGATGACCCACTTTTGTCTTCGCTCCACAGGACCACACCCATGCGCCAACTAACTCCCCCACGTTCTCTCTCTCTCTCTATCTCAAATCCTTATTTAATTTTGTGTTTAATTTAGATAATAAATCCATAATGTCCGTTACTATTAAATTCCTTTTAATTTTCTCGTACGGCGCTGCTCTTTAATCTCTCTCTCCCTAGTATTGAAGTTTCCACCCGATTGCCGCCCACCCCATGTTTCTCACTTGTTTGTCTACTCCTTATAATGCTTTTTTGTGCCTTTTTTGACTTGGTATTTCCTTTCCCTTTTTGTTTGACTCTCTTTTTTTTTTTTCATTTTTCCTTTTGATTTTTTTTTATGGTTGGAGTTTAGATCCCCGCCCGCCTTTTTCGAAATTTGTAAATATTTTATATATTAAAAATCAAAATTGGACAATCATTTTAGAATATAAAGAATACTACAGAATAGCGTCAATTACCGATTATTGTGATTAAATGATTTTGTAAAATTAAATAGATGGAATTGTTAGCCAAAGTTTTAAAACTTTTATATCTGTTCATGATAAGATTCCAATACAACCGAGTTACAATCTTTTTGTTGGATTTGTTGTACTTTACATTCTTAGCTCAATTTGGTCAAAGCTTCCAAATGGAAGAATAGGGTACTCCACCCAGTAGTGCAACATGTTAAAAGAGAAAGAATGTTGGACCCGGACCCGTGGATGGATCTCCCCATTAAAGTTTGTGGATTTTGGGACTTTTCATGAGACTATGGTCAATTTATGATCCTCCTATCACCACTCTAGAGCTATGTGTGCTTCCTTTTGCACAGCTCGAGGATTATTGTGCTAATCCGAATGGATTAACGTTGGGACTTGTGGAGAAGAATGTAAGAAATTGGAACACAATGGATTAACCTCACAAAGGCACATATTGTGTGTTGATTATAATAATCACGATTTGTTGCTCTGGTCCCAAAAAATGTAGCGTAATTGTCTACGGTTACACAAATTAATTCACTATATAGATGTTATGACATATGGGAATGATTTCTAGAGAAAAAAAAAAAAGAAGGTAGTAACAGCTAAGCGAAAAATGTCATATGTCGACGTACCCTCTCTCAAAAGAATAAGCATATTGTTTTTGTTGTTTTGAACAGCGAATAAAATAAATATTTCTCCTTACCCAAAATAAATTTTGCATTGAGTTTTCAAATTTTTACTAAAAATAGTACAAAATTCAAAACTTAAATATGAACTTTTTTTTTTCTTATTGAGCAAAGGGGGTAATACGGAAATGAGCCATTTGTAAGTTTTGCACAACATAGTATGTTTGAATCGTTTTTTTAGTCTATATTTCTTGATAATTTTTTTGAATTAAAAATATAAAAATATATACACTAGGACATTTTATTACTAAAAGTTTATGGACAAAACAAGGAAAAAAAGGAACCAAACAAGGAAGTCACAAACAAACTTTCTTCCCACCTCCAACTGCCAAATGGAACATACGTTACATACCTAGCTCCTTAGTTAAGTTTTATGTTCAAGCAGAGCAATGAAACACTAGGCCCATATACTTTACCATTTCTCCCCTTATTAGTGCGACATCTATATATCCAACTAAAGTACAGTGTTTTATTTATATAAAACGATTGCTTAATTTGAATTTTTTACTTTTAATTCAAATTGATGTAAAAATAAAAAACTAAACTGAATAATTATTTGTGGAAAAATTTAACAAGCAGGACTATCATACCTTTAATCTTATATTCATTAGCAGCAAGTTTAAGGACTTGTTTGCCCAACACTTATTTTACATTTTTGTCTCATTTTACCTCTTAAAACACCTCTCAAATACAAATCTCAATATTATCTAACCAACTTTTTAATTTACTTTTTAATAAATATTCTAAAAATTATTTTTACACGATTTCATCCATCACTACCGGACCACCTCCACCATCACCAGATCGGCGGCCGGCCGACCGGATTCCGGCGACGGCGGTAGAGGTGGTTTGGTGTGGTTTAAAAATATTCTTAGTTTATTTAAAATATCACCCAAATAAGTTTTTAAATTTTATCTCAAACAACATTTTAAATCACATATCAAATCCAAATCAAAAACTAAAACAAAAACGAAAACAAAATGTTGGCCAAATAAGCCCAATGTCCTGGAAAAAGTATTATGGAACTAAAGTGAGTATGTATTATGCACAATTAGGAATATGCTCTACCAAATCATAAGATCCATACAAAGATTACAAACTTTCTTCAAACATTTTGCTTTGTTCACTTGTTTCCGTATCATTTGCCAGCAAATATTCTCTTGGCCTACTTTGAGTTTAAAAGCCATACAGAAAAGCAAAACCAATGACCCCAACTTCCCAAGGATTCACAAATCACAACTCACCATTTTTGGTCCTTTACCTCATGACTTATCCTCATTCCGTTTCAGAAGAATCCTGCAAATTTATTACTACTGTTTGTATATTCATTTATTATTTAGCATTTTTGTTTGTTTGGAATACACCAAAAAAGCAAAGGAAAAAGACTGAAAAGTGAGGACTAAGAACAAGAAAGTTGGTTAACTACTTGGGGATACTCGATAAGATACCCTCCCTTCCCAAGGACACCGGCCACCACTGTCTGAGCGTCAAAAGGCTGCCAGGTAATGCCAAACCCCCCAACATAGCCCATACCCGCCGATCCAAATCCATCATTCTTCTATCTCTATCCCTAATCCTAACAATCTACTCCGACAGTTATTATCCAGTTTTAAGTTTTATTTATAATCCAAATTATACTAAAGTGAAATTTCAAACTGGACAATAATTTTAAGACATAAAGAATAATTAATTTTCTCAATTTATTAACTACTCCTCCCTACTTTATTTCACTACACCTCCGAATGTACTCTTTTGATTATCCTACTATGCATCCCATCAAACACAAAAGTAATTTTGTACTCGCTTATACGGCATGCTTTTACCATATACACATGATAATTTATTATTGGGATTTCATAGATATTAAAATAAGCTGTGTTTGCTATAATATATAGAGAGATATTCTTGTTTTTCCCTCTCCGTCTCGAAATTATTGTCTAATTTAATTTTTTTTTATTTTATAAAAATAAAATTTAAAGGTAAAAACTAAACTGGACAATAATTTTGGGACTCACAGATTATATCATTAGTGAATTTTTAGAATTAATACTAATTCAAGTTGTTTCTGATAATGTGAGTTTAAGGAGAACTCAAAGGTCAAATCTTTCTGAGGTATCACTTATAGAAGGAAAATTGTGAGAAGAATTAGGCTTGGTTAGCGATCCGCTAAGATCATATCATTTTATGACAGAGAACACAATCTTCATGAATTTCATTTACAAAATGCTAGTGTAACATATATAGAGTAGGCATTGATGATTGATTTGATTTAAGAAATTGATTTATTAAAGTTGTTTGACGAAGTAAGCTTCTATGGAGGCCATGATACTTGCAAATATAGAAAGAATCCTACATAACTATGCCATATATGTAGAGTAATAAATTATCATGTGTATTTTTTACATTTTGGAATTCTAAATATGTTTACTAGGATTTTGCAAGTGATTGAGTTAACTACCATACTTTCCTTTATTTAATATGGTAACTTCTTTTTTCTGTATAAAGAGAGATGTCGAAATATAATTTCTAGAAAATCAAAATACTACGTGGATAAGAGAAATATCGGATAATGTCGTAGTCTTTACTGTAAAAAATAAGTAAAAGTACGAATAAACTAAGAAAAATACTTTATTTCAGGAAATAAATATTCCAGAAGATCAATAGTAAGGCTTAATTTTATTTTATTTTTAAAGAAAATTCTAAATACTCAAGAGCTGTAAAGGGCAAAAAGGAAAAAATTGGAAAAAAAACGATAAAAACGAAGGACTAATTAAAATTCAAATAAAACTACAACAGCGACGCTGCGCCCCACCCTTTTTTTTTCGTTCCCAATCTCTCCTCTCTGTCGCAGATACACACACTAGAACGTGAAAAAAGTATTATTTATCTTTCCTTCTTTCCCTCACTGTGTGTGTGTGTGTGTGAATCAACAACGATAATAAAAACAAACTTTACAGAGAGGCCGACATTGTCAAAAAAGCCATTTTGAAAGAATTTATCATATCATCAGCAGAGAAGAGAAGATAAAAAAGAAGCCAATCATCTATCTAAATCCCAGAAACCGAAACAAAATAAACACCAATTCAAAATCCGTTTCACAACTGGACGACGCCGCTTGGTTCTCTCTCCTCTCTGCAACTGGCATTGCCGTTACAACGCCGGAGATGGCATTTCCCCTGCCGTCTCCTGCTGCGACCTCGTTTGTTACTTCTATTCTTCCCACTGGTTGCGTAACGGTTAGGGTTTCCTTTCGTCTCCGATCTCCTTCCTCCTCCGGTCCACCTCCGGTAAATTTGTTCACAATCTGAGCCGCGAAGATTAAACTGTAACAAAAAGGGGAAATTTGTTATTATTATTTTTTGGTTGAGTTCTTAAAGTGAAGGTGGAGGAGACTTGGGTAGGATGGCTTGCTTTGGGGGGAAAGGTGGGATGGAGAAAGTAAGGAGGGTAGTTAGAACGGTGTATTTCATGGTGGTAATGGTGGCTTCGTTGCTGATGCAATCGGCGGCGGTGCTGGTGGTGATTGCCGACGTAGTGGTGCCCTTTATTTTGGTGCAGAGCTTCACGTGTGTTAGGTGTTACAGTTTTAGAGAGCATTTGCAGAGATACGGTTTCAAGAGTTCATTGGTGGATATTCCTCTAGTCTCCATTATCAGATCTCTCATCATTTTCTGTAATCTCCTTTCCTGCATTATTCTCCTAAACCCCCCTTCATTTTTCTTCATTTTTTAAGATTTTTTATTGGTAATTTAACAGTTAAGATTTACTGCTTTTAGGATTATGTTTTACCTTCCCAACTAATTGTTTGTTTGCCGTTTCAATTGCTGTTCATCCTAGACTGCCCTGTTTATGTGTTGCATATGAGCTTGCATTTTGCTAAATTTGCAAACTTTTTCTTGATTTCCACCTGAGATAATGCTTGGTTGAATTAGAAGTTGGAAGAAGCTTATGCACCCAAGCTTTCTTTCTGATTGATAGTGCAAACTATTGGATTGCACCTTTTGACGTTGTTAGTTTCTAAATTTTAAACCAGTCAACTACAAGATCAGTTTCAGAGTTTTGCAGAATGTAGGAAACCACAGCTAATCAGTTAATGTTTGATGATGATTATTTTCGTTTCCTTAGAATGACTTATGTTTTTTTTTTTTTTGGTTACTTTTTGTTTGATCAGGTGTATATACAATCTGTGACGGACCTGCTCTTTCACATGGACCGTATCTTGGAATTGTTACTCTATGTTCTGTTGCTTCAGTTCTTCTTTTGTCTGTAAAGTCATTTATGTTTACTGTTAATTCACAACTTGAGGCGGAAGCATCATCGTACCACACAAGGCACAAGCTCCATTTGAAGAAGTCATGGGGTATGCCTGTCTTATTTCTTTCATCGGTGGTGTTTGCTCTTGGCCATACTGTCATTGCCTATAGGACAAGTTGCAGAGCGAGGAGGAAGCTTTTGTTCCATCGGGTTGATACAGAATCTGTTAGTTCTCGCAGTACTTACTTTCCCTTTGTTAGAGTTAGGAAATCCATTTCAAGTTTAAGGAATCTTATAACGTGAGCTCCTTAGAATAGTACATAGTTGGAAAGCTAGGAATGCTGATCATTTACTTTTTTGAACAGGTTCTTTCTTGCAAAACCGTTTTCCCTGGGTACCATAAAGTTCCACGATCACCTACTCCATCCACTGGGAGAACATTGAGAAATGGCTCCGAGATCAAGAGAAAGTCAGGAGTATTAGCACGTAATGACGTGGAAGTTCCAGCTAGATTACTTGCTGATATTGACAGCTTGTTCATGTCTTGCCAAGGACTAATCCTCCATTACAAGCTTAGCCATCCTGGTTCACATTCACGTGCCTTATCCTCCACGACCTTTCTTGATCGACCAATTGTACAAGTTCCATCAAAGGACCAATATCCTCTCCGTAGGAGTTTCAGTAATCAATTCAGTGCCTCCTCTATTTATACACCTTTATTGGATGGTTCTCCCACATCGCCAGTGCTGTCTGAAGATATACCTATTTTAAGTCTTGATGACACTGTTGATGATGATGAAGCCAGTAAACTGGGATCTCCGGTGTTGGAACAAGATTTAGAAGCAAATAGACAGTTTGGGATTGTGCTAATACATGGTTTCGGTGGGGGAGTATTTTCATGGAGAAATGTTATGGATGTATTGTCTAGGCAGCTTGGTTGTCCTGTGGCTGCTTTCGACAGGCCTGGTTGGGGTTTGACTTCAAGACCTAGACGCAAAGACTGGGATGAAAATCAGTTGCCTAATCCTTACCAGCTTGACAATCAGGTATATTCTTGTTCTTTTTAATGACAGAAGAAGCAATGACGATCTTGAAGAATGTGTTTTTGTTTTTTTCTTATCCATTCTGGGTAGTATGGTCGGTTTAGAAGAAAGCGTAATTCCCATGTAAAGGTTTAGAAGAGTAAAGTCTGTATATAATTTCATTGAAATGATTGTCCTCGTATGGCTCTTTTTTTTTTCAGGTTGACTTGCTTCTTTCTTTCTGCGAGGAGATGAAGTTTGCATCAGTTGTATTTGTTGGTCATGACGACGGAGGTGTGCTTGCTTTGAAGGCTGCTCAAAGAATCCGCTCATCAGGAAACTCCACCAGTGTAAGTGCCTCCCTAAATCAACCTTATTAGCTTGAACTATATTAGTACACTTAATTTGTTCTTGAAATGAACTGCTACTATGTTTGCCCTGCTTTGTTAAGGAATAATTCAAAGATGGAAATATTTTTGGTTTTGTGTTTAACTATATTAAGCTTGTGATTGTATTTCTTTGTCAGCATAATAGCTGTTTATGATCCCTCCTCCTCCTTTGTTCCTGTTTTTTTGTTCTTAGCTGTATGGCTATCATTGTTTTGAAGTATTTAACTAAAATGCCGTTACACAGGTTGATATCAAAGGCGTTGTGCTACTAGGTGTTAGTTTGTCGAGAGAGGTGGTTCCTGGCTTTGCAAGAATACTGCTTCGAACTTCCCTAGGGAAAAAGCATTTGGTCCGGCCACTACTGCGAACTGAAATTACTCAAGTAGTTAACCGTCGAGCTTGGTACAATGCTACAAAATTAACAACAGATGTTCTGAACCTGTATAAGGTACTGATTTCAAAGTTCCTCTGTATTTATAATTAGTTTACGTTGTACCAGTTAATTCATCTATGTTTCTTGTGAAAGAACCTGTGGCAGCTTTTAAAATGACCTGCCATTGTCGATTGTAAAGCTAAAATCATAAAGAAATCTTTGAGCAGATTAATATGTCTTTAGTTTATATCCTACCTGTTGTATAATAAGGTTTTGACTTTCTTTGTTTCCTAAGAAAAAACTGAAATCGAGTGGTCATCTTCTCTTACTCATCGTTAGTTTTCCTTGTAATAGTTGGTCATTGCTACTTTTCACTTGCTTAAGCTGCTAATTTCCATATTGATTTATGCAAATTCTGCCGATTGTGTTGTTTAATCAGGCCCCATTATGCGTGGAAGGTTGGGACGAAGCACTTCATGAGATAGGGAAATTATCATTTGAAACAGTCTTTTCATCACAAAGTGCAGATTTTCTGCTGAAATCGGTTGAAGATTTGCCAGTTTTGGTGATCGCAGGGGCTGAAGATTCGCTGGTCCCTCTAAAATCTGTCCAGGCTATGGCTTCTAAACTTGTAAATTCTGTAAGTTTTTTCCCTTCATGGTCTTTACATTTCTCTGTTTCTAAGAAAATTTTTTCCTCGGCCATGACCTTTGATTAGGCTACCCTAAGTAGTGGAAGAAGGCTTGTTGTTGTTGTTGTTGCTTTAGCAATGACCTTTAATTGATGATCAATATTATGATTGCAGAGACTAGTTGCAATATCTGGTTGTGGGCACCTTCCACATGAGGAGTGCCCCAAGGCACTGCTTGCTGCTATATCACCTTTCATCAGTAGAATCATATTGAATCCAGAATTGCAGAGTTTGTAAAGATTTTTGATGTTTGAGTAGTGTTAGCTTTCTCTACTTTTGTTTCTTTCTCATTTCATTCTTAATGGAAAGGAAGAGATTAAGGTGATCTCTCCTTCCTGGCATTTTTTATATTAGGCAAATTTTAGCAGTAGCCATTGTAAGTTATAAGTTATTTGCTCTCTTTCTACATTCAGATCCTTATTTAAAGTCTCAAATTAGTATCATCGTGTGTTAGCTTACATTTGATGAAGCTCGACTGATGTACTGGTTTTCAATTGGCATTTTCATTGTGGGACGGTTGTGTAAGGTGTTAGAATGAGATTATGACAATGATGAAAGTGAACTCTGATCACATGAGAACTGTTCTATGTAAGGGTAAAGGTCTGTTATGACCCTCAGGCCTCAACATGAAGAACAAAAAGATTTGAAACCGTTGGTAATCTTCAAATCACCCTTTGGGTTAGGCCGTCATTGGCTCGTCGCTTTTGGCAGTGACAGATTTAATCCACTGAAAACCCAAGACTTTCGTCCCCCCAAAAAAAATAAAATAAAAAATAAGCATCTCATTTCTTCGCATCTAACTGATGTCAATAGTGAAGAAGGAAAATCCTGTTGCATTGAATCAACCGATCCCACCCATGTCTTAATAGTTCTGTATTGTTTGATCTCAAATTTCCTTGCTAAGCATCGTAACACTCAATATTTTCGCAAAGGAACTCTCAAGCTTGTTTACTGGCCCTTGAATGTGTATATATCTATCATTTTACATAGTGTTTGGCACAGTTTAACAACGCCAGCAATGAGTAGTGACCACAAACAACCAAATGAAACTTGCCAACACAAGCCTTTGGAATTTCTTTACGTGATTACAGGAATGAACCAAGTCCGAAAGCAATCAAAATAAAACGGCCAGCATTAAACCAATAGTGACAGACACTCTGCTAATCCAGAGAACCACAACTGCCTTTGGATTTCCACTTTAAACCCACAATCTTACAAGAAAGAAAAATATTTGGTACTTCAGTTATACACACCCAGTTATACACTCGAACTTTCAAAGGCCAACTCAGTGGACACCAAGAATTATAATTTATCATTAATGAACAAGAACTTTTAAGAACAAGCTCAGAGGATACCAAAACTACCACGTCATCTACAAAAACTAAATCTTACTTCAATTTAACTGTTTCTCATCAACCAATGACAATAAAGGAAGAGATTAAGTTTTGAGAAGTATCAGCATTCTAAGGCAACCCTCTGATCAAAAGCATCAATGTTCAAACACTATTGTTAAACAGATAACTACTCCTTCGAGGACTTGTTGATCAAGGACTTGTGGATGTGTGGGATAACTCCACCACCGGCTATGGTTCCTTTGATCAGCGTATCAAGTTCTTCATCTCCACGAATAGCAAGCTGTAAATGCCTTGGAGTTATACGCTTCACCTTCAGATCCTTGCTGGCATTTCCTGCTAACTCTAGCACTTCGGCAGTCAAATACTCCAAAATAGCTGCTGTGTAAACAGCTGCTGTTGCTCCAACCCTTCCATTGGCTGCAACTCTGGTCTTGAGTTGACGGTGAACACGGCCAACAGGGAACTGTACTTGTTGAAGCACACAAAGCAAAACAAGAATGACAACAATACAACTTTATCACTTCCATACATCAAAGAGCAAAGAAACAATAAAGACTTCGCATGTCACAGAAAAAAGGTTGAGAATCCAAGTATAACCAAGCAGATGCATAGTCCAGTCACAAGGTAGGTAAACAATATTCATACAACAACAGATCAATGTCCTACCAAAGACATGAACTGAAATCAATCACAAACAAGACCAAAATAGAAAGAGAGTGATATAAATCATCCATAATAACCTCTGAGTCAGAACAAAACAATGAGCACACGAAAGAAACTCTAAACAGTAATGGACCTCAGAAAAATTATACTGTAGCTAATTCAACTGTAACGGCAATCAACTATGTACATCGTTTCTTGACACACTTGCAAGTTCAAATTTAAAGTCTTGCCCCCTGATCAATCATTTCACAATGAAACTATATTCCTTTTCAAAGATAGTCATATAACTATTTAGTCCACCATTAATGCCTTAGAAGTCCAGTATTTCTCAATCCACAAGATTAAAGTATTGCAGCCTAACCTGAAAAGCTTGTAAATCAAGCCATATAGTAACTGCAACAGACTTATTACATAAATCTCTTCTCATCTATCCATAAATCACAGGTGTTCTGAATCCCACAGCGAAAACAGAGAGAAAGAATGAAATGTTCTAAGAGAAGTCAGACTTTTCCCATTCTTTACTTATTCCCCCCAAAATGATAAAGCGCGCCAAAGTAATTTCAAACCCCTAAACAGCCAATTAGCAACTTAAACTCATGCCAAAAAACCGTAACCAAATAACCGATGTTAAAAACCCTAGCATACAAAACAGGAAAATTGGGTGAACATTGGAAAAAACATAAAATGATTGCGAGAAAATCGAAAAGGACGAGGAAGATAGAGAAAAAGAATCGGACCTGAAGGCCAGCGCGAGAGGAACGAGAGACGGGCTTCTTCTTGTCCTTGTCCTTGTTCAATTTCCCGGTAATCAAGCCTTTCGCTCCCTTTCCAGACATTTTGAAACCCTAATCTGAGCTTCGGAGTTGAAGAATTGGATTTGATTGTTGATTCTGTAGAGATTCGAGGAGCGATCGATCGAGGAGAGAAGTTTTCAGAGGGACGCGAAATAGAGTCGGGAAACTCGATCGGGGGGGGCTATGACTCCTTTGGGTGGGAGGATATTTCTAGAAGGTCGTTATTCCCAAAATATCCTTACTCTTTGGTTAGAATTACGTTACGAGGGTTCCGATGTGGATTTCTGGCGGGTGACCGTGCGTGGAATTTGCCAACTCGGAAATATAAATTTGTAAATAATTTGACACCTCAATCAACTAATCGTATAGTACTCATGCACCCACTTAACCCATAACAATTGTTTGTTGGAAGCAATATCTCATACTTCCACTGTCCTATAATTATTGTCCAATTTTATCAAATTACATAATTTTATTTTTGGTCAAACTCAACCAAATTTTGAAGTAAGCTTCCCAATATACCCCTGCATATCTACATAAACTGGTTTAATCGATGAAGGTGAAGAATTTCTTTTACTTCTTCACTTTAGCTCCCCGAATTAAAAACCTATCTCAAAACTCCAGAATAACACCTTCTCTTCGGTGAGACATATAGCTATAATGGAACCAAACTTTCAGATGGAGAATATAATTTCGAGTCAATCTTCTTAATCTAAGATTCAATATGGTGTTTATGAAGATAATCCTTTTATTTCACTGAAAAATCTTTTGCCGTCATAGATCGGTGAGAGTTCTTCGTCTGTGAACCCATCGCTTCTGCTAAATAGAACTAAATTTTCAGATGAATTCTTTTCAATTTAGAGAAAGTTCTTACTGTGTAGCTTTAATTTGATACTCATCCGTACGATTATTATTTCGCCGGGATGCCTTTTCGAATCGATCGATTACAGTTTCAACTCCGACTTTGCCGGAATTTTTTCTTTATCTTTCCTTTCCGACAACTACCCGGCACCTCATCGTCATCACCGCCTCATCGCTTCGAGATGTTGGAGTATAGGCTCTGTTATCTGTGTTGTTCGCTTCTCTAGTGTTTTGTGTTTTAGGTTTTCCAGTGAATTTGTTGCTTTTACTGAAGGGTATAAGTGTAACTTCCATAATAAAAAGTCAAATCGAACAATAATTTTAGGACAAATTTTTTTTGACAAAGTGGACAATAATTTTGGGACGGAGGGAGTATTTGCTTTGCTATAGCTGCTTTATTCTATACATTTGGTTCCCGCACGTTCAACCAAAGGCACCATTCTTCCCGTTTCAATGTACCCTTACAAGAATCCTCTGCAAATTCTTGTAATTTGAGTAACCACAATCTTTGGTAATAAGAATGCGTTGCCCCAATATACGTACATTGAGCTGAGAACTGAGTTTATTAGCCGAGTCCTTCCAGTATAACAAAGATGCTTCGTGTTCCAACTTGTCAACCTCTTTGTAATTTTCTCCACTGATTGCTGGCAGTCACTCTCTTTCCATTTGGCTGGAGATATGGGTAGCCCCAAATATCTCATTGGAAATTCACCCTCTTCAAACTCTGTAGTATCTTTTATGCTCTTCTGCACACCTTCACTTACACCAGCACATAAAATATTAAAATTATTCTTGTTTACCTGCAATCCTGTAGTCTCACCAAAATGCTGTAAAATCTCCTTTATCTTTTTTATTGATGCCAGCATCGCTTTGCACAGCATGATTAAGTTATCTGCTAACCCAAAACTTGTTATTTTCAGCTTCTCACATTTCGGATGTAGCTCTAATCAACTGTCACTTTGAAACTTCTGGTTAAATATTCCATAACCAAAACAAACAACAAAAGGGAAATCAGATCCCCTTGTCGTAATCCTCTCTTCCTTTCAAATAAGAAAAGGGAAGTAGGGTCTTAGTAGTATATATATTATTATGTTTGGACCTTATTATTTACAATATTAGTAAATTTGACCCCATAAGTTTCATAATTTATAATTTTGAGTTATAAATTTATTGAAAACTTAAATACTTACTGATTGAAATATCATAAATTTTGATATAATATCTAAAAACTATCGCGTAACGCGCGGGCATAGTACTAGTAGTAATAACAATAATTATTTTTTGTAACGCCAATAATCTCACCAGCAAATAGAGAAGTTTAATATGTTTTAATTTGGCATTTGGTTCCTCAAAATAAATAAGTCAATATCTAGATGAGATGTTTAGAACATTAACAAATTTAATTTCTTATTTATTATAAAATATTTTGATTTCTTCTAAATTTCAGTTAATATGTTGTTCTCATTGTAAATAAAATATTAAGAATACATTTTTACATTTATTGAGTTTTCTCTAAAATCTTAAAAAATCAAGAGTCACCTTCGATTATAGCCAACCGAATCCTCTAGTGCATGGGTGATCGTGCACAATGTTTCTTCTTGAACAAGTAGAGGATAGATCCGATTAACAGTGGAAGAGGCTTAAGATAAAATATCGGTGCAAACCGTGCTATAGACTGAACCAGTGATGGAGGGAGGGGCACTAGTAAAAAATTTTAATAAGAGACTTTTGAAAATTTTAATACAAATTTCTGAAAAATAATAATTTCACCCCTACAAATTTTTTCTTACACCTTCGGAGATTTTAATCAATAATAATTTCTTACACCAAAAATCTCTTTGAGAAGATTCTCATAATTTTTGTAGTTTACCATAATATGAAACCATACTCATACCTTTTTGCTTGTAATTTGCCAAATCAGGCTTCGCTGCTGGATTGGGGGCTATTAACAACACCAAAACGTTAATGAAGGTCGGTCCAGTGAGTAGACTTCATGATGAGGGACAACGGACTGAATTGATGGATCAATCTGAATTGAGCAACCAAAAGACCAAGAGTGAGTTATTGGTCCACCAATAGTCAAGATCAGGAGAATTACCCATCGGTTGATGAATTGAGTCGTCGATGAAACTGAACTTCTTGCGAGCACGGAGAGCAGTACGAAGATCATTCCTATTATCATTTTTCAATGTAACTTGAGTAATAAAGTCCAGGATTATCACCAACAGTAAGCTCATAAAGATTGATGGTTTTCTATTTTGGTACTTCGACGACAGGACCGGTTTTTTGAGGAGCACTCGTCTAGTTTGGATCGGTGTCTCTTCACCGTTCGCCATAGAATGAAGACAACAAAGACATGATTAGAAAGAAACTGGCAGACAAACTTTAAGATTTTAGGGTTTCTGTACCGAAATACAAAGGATGAAGCCTGATACGATAATAAGAATCAACATATGACCGACATAATTCATGTTGATTCACAAGCCGAAATCGGCTGTATATACAAGTACAAGGAACTTTAGGATTTTCCGGAAGCAAGTACAATGACAAATCTAACCTCCCATAAATATATACAACTAGGTTTTACATTAATACGAAGACGTTTCAAAGGGAAAAATTAATAAAAAGAAAGGAAAAGACATTTTCAAATTACGTGCTGAACCTCTGTTCTAAAATTATTATAAAATTTAGATTTTTATTTCTAATTTAATTTATAATAAAAATAAAAATCAGTTTGGATTTTCAATTTATGTTAAAAATGAAAAGCTAAATTAAATAATAATTTCAAAAAGTAGGGAGTATTTGATTTTTTGAAACTCTTTTATTATGCTCTTTAGAACATTGGATGTCACAGTGGTCCTTGACTAAGCTCCTTGTATTTTTTTTGAGTGAACTATCAAACATATCATTGAATTATTGGGTAATTTCATCAAAATTCATCAAACAAATTTATTAATAAAACAAGTCCTACTAGGCAAAAAATTCATATGAGGTCATTATGTTACTTTTGGCTGTTAAATCATAACAAAAAATTATTTTTTACATCCAAAACATGTGAGTTGGGTCGAAGGACAATTTTGTCATTTTATTTTTTGAAAAATCATTTTTAATTTTTTAAATATTCTTTTTATACTTCCTAACTTGTATACGTTGATACTAATATAATTACTAAATTTTAATAAAAAAATTAATTTGCTTTTTGTATTTCAAATTCTAAATTCTTAAAATTTTTAAAAATATAAAGAAAATGAAGAAGAAAAGTTCAAGTTTAAGTAAACATGAAAATTAATAATTTACCATTTTAAGCAAAAAAGAAAAAGAAAAACAAGTCCTAAAGAATCATTTAAGACCAGTCATTTTTCCTTTACTTCTTGAAATGCATAAATTAATTAGAAGTACAATTTTTTCTCATTTTATCTTAAATGATTATTATATTCACTATAATTATTATTGTTAATTTTTCGATGGCTGAAAAATATAAGCAATTATTGATTTTCATGAAAAAGAAATGTTTGCACTCTTTAACAACATATTATTTTTAAAATTTTTTATAACTTAGAAGTTGAAATTCGAAATGTAAATTAATTCTTGAAATTTAGTAATTGTATTATAGTATCAATATATACAAACTAGGAAGTATAAGAAGTATTGTAAAAAAAAATCAAAAACTATTTTTTAAAAATATATAATGACGAAATTGCTAAAGGACTCAACACACATGTTTTGGAAGTGAAAAGTAGCTTTTCGTTATGATTTAACAGGTAAAAGTTACAGAATGACCTCGGATGAAGTTTTGGTTTAGTAAATGATCCTATTTTATTAATAAATTTGATTAATAACCTGTGATTAAATTATCTAATAGTTTGATGATTTGTTTTGTGGTTATTATTATTATTTTTTTTTTGGCAAGTTTATTGTCTATCATTTGTGTGTTCTTTGATTATGGAACCTTACACGTGCAATCGAATAATTTTTTTTTCCCGTCTCTCAAAGTTTATATCTGATGTCGATTCCGGAATTCTGCTTTCGAATATTTCGCAATTGATGCCCACAACGATTTTTTCCCTTGCTACAGATCGTTCCTCATTCTATCTAAAAAACGATGACTATGATTATTGTTAATTTTGAAATAAAGGAACTAATTACTTTACATAAGTGATTTACTTAACACTCACATTTTAATACGTTATTGAACCTATTTGCTAGTCGTGAAGAAGTTGTGAGTTATTTCTCATGGACTACCGGAGAAAAAACCACTTTTTCTTATTTGAACGATATTCTCTTTGTAGTCCTAAATATAAGCCATTTTGATCTGTCTTAAGTTTTACCTAATATACATTTTTAATTGATAAAAAAAT